CGAGAGAGAAAGCGAGTCTTTCTACACAATGGGCAAATCCTTCCTCGCGCCAACCTTTTGGAACAACATTATTTTCACCCTTGTGTTTTTTATGCCATTGTTAGGTAAAATCTTCCGTGTGAGAGTTTTACCAAAGGAGGCCGATCATTTCTTTAGAACGATAATTACGGATATTATGGAGCAAAGAAGGAAGGAGGAGACGCGTCGACACGATTTTATTCAGTTGATGGTCGATCTGGAACGGTCAGAGGGTGAAAAATTTGACATGGACACGGTCATTTCTCACGCAACGTCATTTTTCGTCGACGGCTACGACACTACCAGCACCGCTTTAAGTTTCGTCGGTTTCAACTTGGCTACTCATCCAGAAGTGCAGGAGAAATTACGCGACGAGGTGATGTCTGTGCTTAACAAATACGATGGTGTGATCACTTACGACGCCTTGAAAGATATGAAGTACATGGATCAGGTATTTAGCGAATCACAGAGACTCCTGCCCGCTGGGGGATTTCTGGACAAGGTTTGCACGGAGGAGACCGATTTGAGAGGATCCGACGGACTCGTTTGTCACGTGCCACGTGGAATGCACATTCTGATACCCATCATGGGCTTGCAGAGAGACTCCCGATACTGGGAGGATCCTGAGGTGTTCGATCCCGAAAGATTTAGCCCGGAGAGAAAACATAGCATCGAGAAATATGCTTATCTTCCCTTCGGCGAGGGACCGCGAATGTGCGTGGGACAGAGAATGGCTCAGTTACAGATAAAAGCATGTTTGGCTACGCTCCTGAGGAAGTACAGACTAGAGCTTTCTCCGAAGACGCGAGTACCATTAAAGTTGACGGGTTCAACCTTCCTGAACGCTGCTGAAGGCGGCCTTTGGGCCATCATCCGACCGATTTAACTACGAGATATTAAAAAAGAATATTCTTTTTTTACATATTTTTTTCTTGGCTTTGATTTTCTTTATTTACAATTATGTGGATTTTTGTAGTGTTAGTTTCCGTAAAATTAATATTTTTAATAATACCTTTCCATTGATTTTAAATGATATTTTAACGATATTTTAATGATGAGTTGAATTTAAAATATAACAAATATTAATAAACGTTGAGAAAATATTTTATTTATTCAGAGAATTATAAGCATTATGGTCTCTTATTTTTTAACTGTATAAATTAGACCTAATTTTTGTTGTTATTTCACGTTGTACTGTGACAGAAAATTGTAATTAGCGTGTTTTAAATAATTTTTTATGTTTAGATTAGATATTATTGTAATAAACATGATAATGTTTTGAGGGCAGATACTGTCCTGTTGATGTAACACTTATTGCGCATGATTCTGCGATGCAAATTATCAATCATGACTCGTCAAGGTTGCGATATTATTAGAACGGACGCAGGAAGATATTAATGCATATCTATGCTCATGCGTTTTAATATTCACTGTCAGTACTGACTCTCTACAGAGTGTCCCATTTTAAATGACGATCGCAGTTATCTATTGGACGACACATTTTAGAGAAAAATGTTTTAGATAAAAGTTACAGGGTTCAAAGGGGATGATTTTATTAGATTTTGGGTCCGGGTTTCGTGTTGGGCCCAGTAGCGCTTAAGGTATATATTTTTTAGTGGAAACCTTTATTTTTTTGTATTATTTCTTTCTATTAATTAATTTGAACAACTTTTATCTGAACCTTGTTTTTTTATATTTGCCTAATATTTTTTGAATTCAAAAAAAATATTCAAGGAAAACTTTGTAATTTTTAGCTTACGATATTTCGATAGTAATTATTGGGTTGGCAATAAGTTCGTTCGGTTTTTTTCATTCAAAACCAGTCAAAAAACCGAACGAACTTATTTGCCAATCCAATATTTGTCAGAGAGAAAAGTGGTTCAAGACTTTTTGACTTGATTTGGTCAAGAATATGCTGTTGCAATAGTACTACTTTTTTAAATACTTGTGTATAATACATGAAAACTCCAAGGAAATGTCCAATAATGTGTACATATTATGGATTAAATAAGAATGTATAATTTACAAAGAATGTATATCTAATTTATATTTTTAATACCCTACATAAATCAGCTATTTTGTAAAATATAATAATTGCGCTGGATATAAGTCACATTAAAAAAAAAAAAAACAATGAGCTTTTAGTTATAATTAAATCATATAATTAAATCATATGATTGTATTAATTGCAATTATTGACAAGAATTATATAATGATTAAGTATAGTTTTCCATTTGCAGATCACAAGAAGGTAGATAATATTTGTACAGAAATAATGAAAATGCTTTATATATTACATACGGAGTTTATTTATTAAATGTATTTACTTATACTATGTACATATGTCGTATAGTAGCACTTTAGCGTATTTTTCTTACGCGACTTTATATATTCTTAGCTGCGCTAAAACTACGTTCTCGTTACGTTATTTTACGATGTTAGAGTACATTAACATATACGTACATTACAATCTATCAAATAAGGCACTATACGGTGAAACCAAAATGTAATCAATCTCGCAGACGATAACCGTTAGTCGGTTTGCAAGTTACAATTAAATTAATAATTTGGAATATAATTTTTT